GAAACCCAACCATTTAACGAAAATTTTATTTTTTCGTCAGCGTAGGATTTTTTTAACAAGATAAGTATTAGGATACTTGGTTTTCGGCAGTTTTTTCTCGTAAAAGCCACCAGAGATTGCCTGCTGCTGATAATCTTGCAAATGGTAAGTGAATAACTTTGTTGGTGCCACTCGGGTTACAGTAAAAATTTCTGTCAACCAGTTAGACGTATGACCTTTTTAAAAGACTTGTTTAGTATTACTCACACGTACTTCATCACCAACTTTCAATTTTGATTTTGTTCCTTTTTTCGAATACATAAATTTTTGTAAAATATTTTTTTCATTAACTACTGAAACATCTTTTGGCTTCACACTGATCGTGCGGTGTTTTCGATTATTGGCAGAAGTTTTTAGCTATTCTAAAATATTGAGTCACTTGTAATTACCTCTTACACTAAACTTTTTCCACATAGCATGCTTTAGGGTACGATTTAATCGTTCACACATAGACGCCTTAAGATTACTGTACGTGGAGTATAAAATAATTTTGTGATTTTTCATAAGATTTTGAAAATTTGCGTTGTAAAACTCTTTACCACGATCGGTTTGCAAGTTAGTTGGAACTCTTTCTTCCGTTAATATAGTTCTCATAGCTGCAGTCACATCTGTACCAGTTTTATTTTTTACGGTCACGGCCCATGCATACTTAAAAAATACATTTATGACAGTCAGCAAGTATCTGTAACCTTTATTTCCACGAGCATAAGGTATCATCTCCACAAGATCCACTTTCCTTGTTTCATCCAAGCCCCGAACGTCAAACTTGTTCACTAGTAGATTTATTTTTTCTTGCTCGTTCAAAATGAAACTTTTTTCTTTCTGTAAAGTAGTAAGATTTATAGCATCATTAGGTTGAACAGCTGATGCAACATTGCACAATCTTTTATTTTGTAAGTCAAATTGACCATCTGAGGTGAGCTTATATCCAATTACAGTAAGACCTCGAGTACCACCTTCAGACTTAGCTGATCGACGTCCGAATGTATTAATGCTCATTTTAATACTGAAGTTAAATTTAACAAGCAAGCTTAATTTATAATATTAGCTTTACGAAACTCCTCAACGATTTAATTTATTTCATTAGTGTGACTAGGATTACCTGCTGATCTTTCTGCCACTAACAATATTAGTTGATTAACGAGTTCGTTAGGGTTGTCCCAGTAAATATAGTCCATTTGCGTGTTTATTTTAGGAATTTTAAATGAAAGTATGGGCTCACCTTTTTTCTTTACATGTGTAAGATTAAGTAATGGAGCAATAACATCATTGAATTTTTTACTGTTGTATGGTCGAGTAGTATCATTTTTTAACTTCATCAACCCATCAGTCATTGGATATCTTAGATTCTTTATTTGAATTTGATTATTTTTGAAATAAATGGGTGAATCACCGAGTACATATTGTACGGTTTTTTCTATTCTTATACCATAAATTCGATTCAATTCAGACTTATTTTCATCAAGTATTTTAAAATATAAATTCATGGACAAAGTTTTGTTAATATCATGCGCTAAGTCTTCATTATGATTACTTTCTTCAACTTCAGTATCATAGTCTTTGATAACATAATTGGATGAAAACGTATTTTTATTATCATCACTGTTACTATTTGCTGATTGAAACATTGATGTGTCGATACATATTTTTTCTGTTTAAAAGGCTTGAAAGGCTCTTTAGATTAAGATTTGAAGCTTTGCGGTACATTTTCTTCCTCATATGTTTTATAGATGATTTTTTGAAGCGGATAAGTAATAGGCTTAAAAGTTTCACTAATTTGTTTTTCAAAATTTTCTTTTCCTTACTTTAATCATCGATGCTTACGTTTAACAGCTTCTCTCACTTTTTCAATTTGTTGAAGAACGTGTTTTTTCTTATGAAATGCATCCATATTTACCACTTAATAGTTGACAAAAGACTGATGCATACTTAACGAAAATGAGTAATATTTATTGCAAAGGAGTCAAATCGTCGCCTATACCTACCATTATTCACATCTCTTTCCTTATCTATTGCGACAAATCCATGTTTCCCAACTCCCCAACATTTAACCCATAATTTTTTGAAGTCATTATACGGCATTTCGGTATTAACATAATCATTATAGATGTGTTTCAAATTCATATCATCTTGTCGAAATATTACCCAGAGATTTAAATTATCTTGGACTTAATGTTTGGGAATTTGAGCATAAGATTGGCAAAGATAGAAGCAGTTAACATTTTTGTGACGTCCCATGCAGAAGAAGGCTCTTACATTATCTTGTTTTTCACAGGCAATGTCATCGAATATCATTATGGAGTTAAGTAGTGCCCTATCCAGTGATTTAACTGATTCATTCTCACTAAATAAAAAATATTTTATACTATTTATGTGATTTAATAGTTCTTTTAGAAACTTATAATGCGGTTGATTCAATGATTTTGAGTACAAAAAAATATTTTCAAATCTTAATCTATTGGTGCGAGTAGTAAGAGATAGTAAGCTATTTGTTTTTCCACAGTTTGATAGACAGCAAAAAATAGCTCTAATAGTATTAGATAGCAAATCACCGTAGCGTTTTATTTTGTTATCTTGTTCAACAATATCATCAAAACTTACAACGGAAAGTTTAATATTCTGTTCCACAAAGCTCATGTTAACTGTATGCTGACTCAACTGAGACTGAAAGTGATAGTGTAATCAGCATGTTTTTAAACATTTAGTCCTATTTTTTTTAAACATAAATAGCGTGATACTGATGTTTACGAGCTCAGTTAACGTTGCACACTCGAGAAGTGATGATCATTCATCGACGAAAAGATCGTGGCGTCATAAATAAAGTCATAAACAATATGCCAGTAGAACTCCACGTGCCAGGATATCAGTATTGTAGACCAGGCACTAAGCTAGCTAAGAGATTAGCCCATGGAGATCCAGGCATCAACCTATTAGATGAAGCTTGTAAACAATACGATATAGTTTATTCTCAAAACCCTCACAACATTACGGCTAGAAACGGAGCAGACAAAATTCTATCGGAAAAGGCTTGGTAACGCTTTAAAGCTAAAGATTCAAGTATTGGTGAAAAAGCTACCGCTTTTGCTATGAGCAGCGCAATGAAAGTGAAAATCAAAATTAGGAATGGATTTATAAAAGAATAAAAAAACAAAAAAAGTAAGAAAAAAAATTATGAAANATCAATGAATGGAAACACAAAAAAAGTAAGAAAAAAGAAAGTTGGAAAGATAGTGACTTTGAAAAAATTAATTCAAAGTGCTAAAAAGTCTATGGTTACAAGTAAATGTGCTCACAAAGTTGTAAGTTCTGCTTTAAAGAGAGCTCGAACAGCCATGAAAAAAGCTGGTGGTAAGAAAAATATTATAACACCACGCATATTACGTATACCTCAAAAGATTGGAGATTTTTTACCATACATCGTACCCGCATTTGCAGGCCTAAGCGCTGTAGGGGCTATTGCTAATGATGCGAGTGGTATACATAAAGCAATAAATCAAGCAAACGAAGCCAAGAAACAGCTTGAAGAGAGTGTGAAACACAATAAAAAAATGGAAGCTATTTTACTTGGTAAAACCGCATAAAAAAGGTTTGGGTCTATTCTTCAAACCAGGGAGAGGATTAAAAAAAAAGTTCGAAGTAAAACTGCCTAATCAAGCTCTCACAAATAAAGATATTATGAAATATATTATGAAATATACAAAAATGTTAAAGATACCACATTCTTGAGGAGTATTCATGAGAAACGATATGCCATTTACTGGTCCACATCAGAATAAATCAGCTATTGTTAATCTAGATGATAAAGGAGGTCCTGGACCTCATTGGGTTGCATACAAAAAACAAAGTGATGACGTAACATATTTCGATAGTTTTGGCGATCTACAACCACTGCTAGATTTGATGTCATATCTCTGTGTTGGTATTATTAAGTATAATTACAAAAGATATCAGAAATTTAATACTTATAAATGTGGTCATCTTTGTCTAAAATTTTTAAGTAATAATCTTAATCGTAAGCCTTTACAAGCAAGTGATGGAAAAAAATTTATCATTTATCGATGAACCGTCATGAGAGGCACATTCACTTTAAGTTTATCTAGTACATCATTTGTTCTCGAAGCACAATATTTTCCTCCGATTGAGCTCCCACCGCAAAAGACTATGTTCTTGGTTTAGTGGAATTACTAACATTTAATTTTATACCTAATATTGATGAGAGTAATAATAAATTTTACTTAGGTAAAAAGGTGGTAACTTTACCAACATGCAACTATGAAATTTTAGATATAGAAAATTTTCTCATCGACATATTAACACCTGAAGATATTTTGATAAGTGTAAAGCCAAACAATTATACGCTTTGCAGCGTGATTCTGTGGAGGCACCCAATTGATTTTAGAACAAAAGACTCGTTGGAATCAGTTTTAGGCTTTACAAAATGCATTTTTACATCAAATAAAACTCATAATTCTGATAAACCTGTATCAATTCTTAAGGCAAATGCACTTCGAGTTAAGTGTAACATTACTACTGGAGCATATATAAATGAACATAAAGTTCACACAATTTATGAATTTTTCCCTGCAGTTCCTTCTGAGTATAAAATGATTGAAGTTCCAACACAAATAATTTACCCACCCGTTGCAGTCAAAATAATAGATCATCTTCAAGTTCAGATCGTTGATCAAGAAGGAAAATTAATAAATTTCCGAGAAGAAGTTATAACAATAAGACTACACGTGAAACAATTAAATTGAATTAACGGGTACTTTATATGTCGTAAAGGAAAGAAAAAAAAATTTCATAGAGGATACATAAGTAAACCAACATGGGAAAGACAAATCAGTTATCAACGAGCAACGAAAGCATTAACACGTCAAAACGTACAGATTTTAAAAAGCCTAGGCTTAAAAGTGATCATTGGCTAAAGTTTATTTGCATATTTTCCTGCTGTTTTAAAGATGGATGAAATTCTTAGCATACAGTCAGGTATCATTTTTGACGAATCAATTGCGCACTATGAAATTCATGCACATCAGCCTTACATTTCATCAGCATTCAACAATAGTGATGAGATTCGCATCTCGTTTCAACATTAAGATTTATATCTCTTACCCTCGAAAAAGCACTCTACATATTTTTGAACGTATTACATTAAACAATAATACTGCAGTAACGCAAACTGAGTTAGTTAACAATACTATTTATCATTTGTTTTAAGAAATTCGCTACGAACTTAATGCCATTGAAATAGACAAGTGTAAAAATGTTGGTATAACAAATATAATGAAAGGTTGGAAATATCAATATCCAGGTCAAAGTTCAACACTAGAAAACGCAGGATGGCTATATATTACAGAAATAAATAAATTAGTGAACGCTGAAGGTTATTTTGATATTTCTATATCTTTAAGCATGATACTTGGCTTTGCTGAGGACTATCGTAAAGTTGTAGTAAATGCAAAGCATATATTCATCCTCACGAGATCGAGAAATTACTTATATGCAGTCGTACAAACAGTTGCTAATGATGTTTACGAAGACTTTAAAATTACATTGACTCGAATAGAATGGCTCATGCCTTACGAAAGTGCATCAGACAGACTAAAAATTCGTCTGCTTAATATTATTGCAAAAGATAAGCCAATTTCCATGAGTTCTCGCAATTGGGAGTTTTATGAATATCTCCTTCTTCCAATAACTATGAAACATGTTTGGAACGTAAAAACATCAAATCAACTGGAAAAGCTGCATTTTGTTGTTTTAGGCTTTCAACGAATCGTAAAGGTCAGAAAGCTGCTAATGCTAGTTGGTTTGATCACTGTAATATAAGTAATGTTAAGTTATTTCTTAAACCTCAGTACTACCTCTATGGAAATCTCAATCTCAACATTAATCATAATTAATTTTTTTTACTCTACGATATGTATACAAATTTTCAAGATGTCTATTATGGTAAAGAAACAGAACCTATAATTAATAAAAAACGATTTTATTACATAAATTCCACACATCGTTATTGACTGTTCAAAACAAAATGAAGCTTTGAAAAATGCAACAGTTGATGTGCGTTTGGAATTCAAGTCGAGAGATAATTTTCCGCAAGGAACAGCTGCTTATTGTCTGATTCTGCATGATTGTATAGTCGAGTATAATCCTGTGAGTGGGGATATGAGGAAACTTGTCTCAACTTGCTCATAAAAAATAAAACAACAATAGTCATCTAACTCAGTCTACGCTATGCTATGATGGAGTATGTAGTGGACATGCAAGGCTTTAAAAAGCCTGGCAATGATTATCTGTTAAAAGAATTAGCAATTCTTTCGTTAAGGTAGTTGTACAGCAAATTGAAATATAGGATAGAAAATTATGATATTTTGCAGGATGGTAGATTAATGCATAAAAATAAGAAATCTAAATTTTTGTGACCCGAGGGTACCTATAAAGGGAGATATTCATAATTATTTGCATGCCTTGAGTTTTTGTTTACATGCCAATTCAACATGGCGTCTTATGGGAAACCGCGGAGCTGTCTGTATATTATCATTCATATCGTTGCTAATATAGGATAGGTTCTGATGCCCTTTGGACAGTAGAAAGATAATTAAATGACAATTATATATTCGCTTTCAAAACCTTCCAAGGGTACTTGTGAGAAAAGTAATTAAATAGTAAAGCGTGAAGAACGTGCATTTGTGAGACGCTATTTGAAAATATGGCAACGCCGCATAATCTGATATTACGCGCGCGGTTTGAAAGGTAAATAGGTACATATGATTGCTCGTAAATCCTGATTACTGCAATCTCTCTTATAGATTTTCAATTATTGTTATAGGACGTATATTTTAAATAAATATGATAAATAAATATATAAATAATAAAACGAACTGATATACAAAGAACATCAAAACAATTTTATTGCCATATATTACTTAAAAATGAAATAAACATGTTATAAATTAATATTTATGTAATAAATATTTAACATTTATTTTTTAAATAATTAAATAGCCTATTTTTAACTTTATTATTTTTAGTTACTCGAATCGTGCCATTTTCATCAGCACCAAGTAGACTAGATAGGCCATCAAGGCCTCTTTGTTTATAAGCATCGATAACCATTTCTAAAGTAATGTCAGCAGTCGCTTCTCCTTTTGCTACAGCTGATCAACGAAGTGCTCCTTCTATGATGCTCTGAACACACACTTACAGGCACACACACATGACCGCAAAGTGACGTTGCCAGATCGTTCTACTACACAAATCAAAAAGTTTCATGACTCTTGCGGTACCTGTACAACTACCTTTAGCGAGAACGTTGAACCACATGTGCTTCTCTTTAAACTACCGTTTCCTTGGTGTAAGTTGAGTCAAAAGTATAAATGTAAAAATTTATAGATTGAGCTTTACTATCATGGATTAGAATGGAAATCTGGTAATATTAACTATATGGAAGAAGTGGTCGCGGTGACGCAACGGTAGAGTTGCAGTTCCGTCGATCTCCTAGATTAAGCTGCATTAGGCTCAGTTAGTACTTGGATGGGTGACCGTCTGGTAACCATTCAGGTTTCGCCGTTTCGCCTGTGCTTTTGATTCTCGAAGGTCGATTAACTGTTTTTCTTTCGCTTCGACATCGTAATCATAGGTGTGACTATAAGTTGGTCCAGATGGTTATATGCGTTTAAATCCATGTGTGACACCCACAATGTCAAACGAATGAAATAGTATATTGCACAACAAAGGCAGAAAATTCAACACTCTCCCCGTGTAGTGCATACTATTTTTATTCATATCTGGTCGAAAGTACGTTTATTATATAATATTAGCAATTCAACTGCGCTTCAGATGATACGGTTAGGTAAAACTATATTTTACTTTCGTCCTCGCTTTAGCGACGTCTTTGGAGACGACGGACACTCGTGAAGCTTCAAGTTTTTGTATGTCTCTCTCCCTCTCGTATACATAGTCACTGAGTTGTTCTTTATATAATATTATACTATATAAATATCGTTTTTTTATACACATATATGCAAATACGCACTTTACTAAGTACATTAGTTTCATTCAATAATTCTCACTTTTTTTCTTACCAACTATCTGGTTCGGGTTTACGTATTGCCTCTTTTTGGTCTCAGCGAAGTGAGTGTTTACAAATCAGTTTGCTATTATTCTATCAACTAGACTTAACAACGAAGCCGATCGGCTTCGTCCGATGAGTCTGAAAATAAATAGGAAAATTTCCGAAATTTTGACGAGGAAGTGCTTTCTATTAAATGCACTGAAACACTGCCGAAAAAGTTGGCAGATAGATACAGTCTTGTATATGATACATATGTAAAGTGAAAAACTCAACATACAAGTTCTTTGTCCAGTTTGGAAGAAAACAACCTAATAGTTTATTCCAAGGAATTCATTGCAAAATTGAAACCAACAACTGTGTGGAGTATTTGGTCTATGCTCAAAAAAACTTTAAATACAAAGGAAAACGTTGACATAAGCCAATTTCACAGCTTAAGGAGCATAGTGAAACCAAATTCTAATGGTTATAAGCCAACAAAATCCCTTGTATTTAAATGGCAAGATATTATGAGATTTATCAACAATACGCCAAGTTTTAAATATTTAGCCTCAAAAGTAAGTATTAACATACATTTGTATTAGGTAAAATACCATGCTGTATTGTTATACATTTCAAAATCTTAGGTTCTTCTCATATTTGGCATTTGTGGAGCTATGTGATGCGATGAACTGAAAAATTATGTGTAAAATGAAAAATGATCAATTTGAGAAATTTTGAAGAATACTATGAAAAATTTATCTTTTCTCAACAAGAAATTACATCGTCTTTTATTAATACTGCACTTATATAACAACTGTGATCAAAAATTATCCTACTCCTAAATTACAACTTATCTTATGTATTGTTTCAGAAATCACGGTTTTTTCTATAACAAAGTATACGTATGTATTTTCAAACATAACTTTTTTTTATCCAGTATTTAATTGATCACGTAACAAAAAACGTTTTTATTTTGAAGATTAGCTACTAAAACATTGAAAACACTATGAGTTCTTATTTCTTATTTCCGTATGATTTTTCAAGTAAGACGTCTATTTTTCTAATAAAAGTGTCAACTATAAAACATATTTGATGTTATAAAGACTGTTAAAGATAATTAGAAATTTTACGCTTGTGTCTCCTACACAAAATAATTTTGTATTTTTAGTAGGAACTTATGCATCCGCAACGTTTGAAATCACGTTACATATTTTGTTTCCATATTTATCCGACATATTATTTATAGAAAAAACTCTTTTTTTATTAGTGAAACAGTAAGTGTATAATGTTGTTACGTAAAATTCTATGCAGATAAATATAAATATCTTAATTTTTTAGAATAAATGAGTCAGTAAATCAAATTATTTTTAGTGCTCTACTGATAGTCACTTATTTAGTAATTTCGTTTTTTTTTTTGATAATTTTTTTTACATAAGAAACTCCTTTTTTTTAACTATAGTAAAGAAACATCAGATTGCTTAAAACTATGCAACTGAAAGCTGATTTTTTTACATTATATATAACATAAGAAGTGTCTTTCTAGCAATAGTAGTGAATACACACAGTTGTAAAATTTTTAATTACCATAGTTGTTATTTTGGTATATTTTCTTGGGTTCTCATATAGCTTGTGAGTTTATTAATTGCAAATTAAAAATAGTTTTACGAGTACAAAAAAAGTCTTATGTAAATATTTTCTTATTTGTTGTCAATTAAAAATTATTTGATATGAAGTTATCCTTTTTATGTAAATAATTCTCTTGTTATCCACAAAGTAATGTTAGGATTAAAACTTTTTTTCACTTGAAAAAAAAAAAAAAAAAAAAAAAAAAAATTTAGTCAGATTCAACCTAATATTTATTGATAAAGCTTTTGTGCACTTATCGATAAAAAAGCATCGATTTTCGAAAACTAAGTTTATTCAATTTTATTTTAGTTTGATTACGATACGAATAACTGTTAATATGCTTCGTGCATAAAAACATTAAAGTGACTTTCTTGAGTTTTCATAATTTGATAAGAGCTTTTATTAGGTGATATTGCATTTAACTACTAAACAGTTTACATTTTCATTTTGTTTTTTGTCCAAGATCCATGATTCATGATAAATCTTAATTTTCTTTCCATCTAAATACTATTATAATAACAATTATGTTTAACTTGAACTTCCTATTACAAGTATCACTTAGGTAAGCCACGCCCCCTTTTACCGTCGAGTAAGTAGGAGCGTTAGCTCAAAAATAATTTTACAAGTTCTATAAAAAAAGTCAATCATAAATTGCTCTATACATATGAGCAATAAAAAGGCTACCTCCTCTAAGTCTTATGAAAAGTCTTGCTATGATCTGTACAGTACATAAGGTGAATATATACAGGGTGTTCTGATTTTGAGCCCGGAAAACTATACCACGAGATAAAGCTCATCAAAAGATCTCGAAAAGCTTTTTAAAAAATTTGGATTTGATGGATAATTAACGAGATATTGTTGATTTAATAATCAATCGATTCCTCCAATTACAGAGCACTTCGCCTCAGGAGGCGGGACCTAAGCATTGTGGAGGGGCGACTACGCATAGCTAAACTCTTTTACGGTGAAGGTGGTAGTAGGTGTGCCAGGAAACAAAAGGTTACCAACTGCAGAGATTTGATCAGTTACCGTACCAGCGTAAAATTCAGATAGCAAGGCCGAAGTATCTAAACCGGAGATCTGATTTTTGAGAAATGATTACGCACGTCAACTACTCTTATTCAGTGCATATTTTTTTCTCAGTAAATTTCACAGAAAAACAATTCAATTCAAATTTTTTTAAATATGCATCGCCTGATAAAAAAAACAAAATGTGAGAGG